TATATAAAGATTGTCCATGCGCAATGTGGGGAGGGGAGGGGAGAAGTGGGAGCATTGTTGTTTACTTCTCGATAGGCGTTCCTTCATGTTGCGACCTTCGATCACACCACCACGTGTCATTTCGCTGTGTGTGGCCGATAGATTGAGCTCACTGGCATAGAGAGAGAGAGAGAGAGAGAGAGAGAGAGAGAGAGAGAGAGAGAGAGAGAGAGAGAAAAAAAGAAGCGGAGAAGGGCATTCGGGTCAGTACAGTCATGCCGGGGAGGGTTAATCCGAACCCCATGCATGGTGGTCCCGTCGCTGAGACGTCGACCACGTTTGTTCCATCCGACACACCGACGACGTCCGAGCCCGCGCATGGTGCTCAGGTTGTCACCACAACCACCAGTGAATCGGTGGCGAGCACAAGCAACGCGACGGTGACGACAAACCATGTGCACACCCAAGCGGGCGGGGGTTCATACAGGCGGCACATTGCAGGGTGGAGGGGAAGGTGAAGGTGGAGGTTATGGTTGGGGGACGCTAACCCATGTCCCTAGCGGTGGCGAGTGGGGGGTAGGGTCGGGCAGTGCGCCCTGCCACGTGGCAGTTTTTGGTTATGGCTTTCGAAATGAGTACCTTGTTTGAAGTGTGTTGTTGCTTTTTGCTTTGTTCACTGCCAATGAAACAAATAAGGACGTGTCATTTGCTTTGTTAGAGTCTCTTTTGCCTTCCTCTGCCTTTCTCTTTATTTGAATCCCTTCGTCTTTTTGTTGTGTGTCAGAAGTTTGCTTCCGTCCTCCATTTCTTAGTGACGTGATGGAAATGTAGGTTTATTAAATGATGAAATGATTTACCGAGTGAGTGAAAGATAGATTCAGTGATTCATTAAATGATTGGTTCATTGATTGATTGATTGATTGATTGATTGATTGATTGATTGATTGATTGAGGGCAAGTGTTGGATCGGTCGGTTGATTGGATGATTGATTGATTGATTGATTGATTGATTGATTGATTGATTGATTGATGGATGGATGGATGGATGGATGGATGGATTGATGGATTGATTGAACGGTAGATTGATTGATTCATTTCGTCATTGATTGATTTATTGTCGGCGGACAATCGATCAATCCATCAATCAATCATTCAATTAAGCGTGCAATCATCTTTTGTTCAATCAATTATTCAATCAATCAATCATACATGCTTATTGACGGACGGATCCGTCACTTGCTTGCAATCAATCAATCAATCAATCAATCAGGGTTTCAATGTATCAATCTGTCACGGTATCAATCGGTCTCTCCATCAATTCGATCATTCAAGCAAGGTATCAATAAAAAAATTAATCATTTAGTCAATCATTCAATCAGTCAATCACTCAATCAATCAGTCACTCTACCTATCAGTCGTTCCAGTTTGTGTCCATCCTTCCTCGATATGTTTGTAGAATCATTGGTTCCTTGATTGATTGGGTTAGTTGCCCAATCGATAAACCAAAATGCAAATCACCATGCTCTGGCAAAAAAAAGGCATTTTATCAAACAATCAACAAGTGTGTGTATGTGTGTGTGTGTGTTTGTTTGTGTGTGTGTGTGTGTGTGTGTGTGTGTGTGTGTGTGTGTGTGTGTGTGTGTGTGTGTGTGTGTGTG